TGTGTGGGGGAAAAAAAGACAATATAAAAGAAACATGTGACATACAAGAATGAGAAGTATCTACTTTTAGATTGTGGGGGGGGGAAAAGACTAGTGTCAATAAGGTGACATTAAGCTGAACATTTTAACTGGAACCTGAAAAATAAGAATTAATTAGCCATGAAAATATTCTGAGGGAGAGCAAAAAAGACAGGAGCCCACAGAAAGGATACTCTACCATGATAACTGTGAGAGGAAAAAAAATGGGTATTCTATGAAGATCATATAGAAGACTGCACTATATATAGTAAACAAGAAAAGTGACGTAGAAGATATATTAGAGAAGTCCACATGGTCCAGATCACCCAAAACCTGGAAGGCTAGGCTAAGGCTAATCAAGAAAGTCCCCTTTTGAGAAGAAAATACTGTAAATTGGATTTTTTTGCAATAGGAAGCACTCAAACACGTTAAGTTGATGTGTTGTATATGACATACACACGTCTGTATGAAACACATACACTTTATTTCCATACTATAAATTCTGAAACCCTTATCACTACTTTAAATCACTTCTGGAGCAGGGCAAGACATAAACAAATATTGAGTTGTCGGAAAAGTCATGATGTATTTTTTCTATGTTTTTCATTGCAAAAATGCGTCATGACTTTTCCGACAACCCAATAGTAAATACACACTCCTTCCCATACCATCAAAAGCCTTTTATAAACTACACAAGTGGTTCTCAATTTTGTCTTCAGATTAGAACCATGTGGAGAGCTTTATAAATAAATACTAATACCTGAGTCTGACACTATAAAAATTCTATAGAGGATCCTAGGCATCAGCATATTTTTTTAGGCACCCAGGTAATTCTAATCCCACCAGGATTGAGAACAATTGTACCCAGCCACCTTTCTAGCTTAGTTTCTCAAAACTCCTCCTTGGTGCCTGTAGCCATTTCCTGAATTTGCTGTCTGTCATTCTTTTCATATTCTGTGAAATCACCTTCGCTTTTCCAGTCAACACATTCTGCTCATTTTCTAAATCTCTGCATAATGACAACTTCATTATTGTGTGTATTAACTATTCAATAAGCAACTGTCAAAATATCATTTTAAAAAATAAAAAGAAACAAATTTTTTAATCTTCCCAGTTGTCTCATACATGAATACTGATTGATTTTATGTCATTGCATGTTTACTATTTGGTTAAGTCTATTTCAGGTGTGGGTATAAATAAACAGTATTGTTTGCTACTTCTTAAGAGGTCAGGATTATTTTTAGGTGCAAGCTGAAGTGATATGTTACAGATATCAAAATGTTCTTTGTAGTAAGAGATAAGTTATTTCCTTTCTGGTAAGCACACTAAATATAAAATACAATAGAGTCCTGCCACAGCTCTCAACTCAGAGTCTATATACTACACATTGTGTCACAGGTGAAAAGGCATTTGAGTTTAGTACCTCCGATAATAAATGCCCTTAAGTGAGTCTAAAACACATGGATTTTTATTTTAATTCCACACTAAGGTGAACAGTATTACACCAAGGTTTGAGAGCACATAATAATTTAAAAGCATTTTGAACACTGACCTCTAAATCACTCTGCCATATGAAGAATACTGACTTAAGAATCCATGGCCAGAGTATGAATTGGAAAACCCATACCTTTGTATTACATTTTAATTTTCATAAAGCTTTTTTACTCTGTAAATGAAGCATTCCTTTTATTGGCTCACACAAAAGAGAGAATGCTCCTGAGCAAAGATGTAAAGTAGATACCTCAAGGTTTCCATTTTAGGCAGTTATATACCAAGACCTACCTATTCTGCCAACTTAGAATTCAACATAAGGCAAAATATCTTTCAAGAATGCAGAGAAAAAAATATTTTCGAACAAAACATGTTCCATCATTAGGCCCTCCATATATATATATGGCAGAAAGTATAAATACCAACAAATAGGAAGTACAAAGCAATGAATGTGAATAAATTCAACCAACCCTGACTGGGAATCTACAGCATACAGATGTTGGCTGAAGCCATGAGCTTTTATATGATTAAAAGAATCAATAATAAGACAACAAAAGATCCAACTCACAGTCTTTATTAATTTTTAATTCTGTGAATGAGTGAATGAATTAATGATGCTACTAGCCCTTTGGATGGGAACCAGCAGCAGCCACATACTTCCTGTAAGAGGCAAAGTCTTCAGTAGTCAGTAGAGCCCAGTCCTTTTGCAAGGAGATAAGGTAAGATTTACTGGGGTTCAAAGTCCCAGAAATCAGTCAATTAGAACCTCCATCTATAGCCTCATGTATTAGTAGTGAATTCCTAGCATGTGACTACAGCAACTGTAATTTGCTGCCTTTCAATATCAAGCTAAAGTTTGTGCCAGATGCAAAGATTTAAAAAACAAAACAAAACAAAAAAAAAACCTCTCAAGAAAGAATACCCACCAGCACAACTCTTCCTTCCCATTGCTAATTAGGAAACCAGATTGCCATTAACATATCGGTGATTAGTACCTGCTTAGAGAGATTTATTATCTGGTTATGTTCTCAAATACAAACTCTGAAAGGAATGCTCAAGCAAAAGTGAGCACAGATTCACTATCTCTAATAAAAATGTGGAGCCAGGCTAGGCTGCAGCAGCCTCTATGTTCTTCCTGTGGTTGTGACTGGGGCCATGGGGAAAGATATCTTAAAGGGGTTTTGTAAGCCTAATAGAGCTGCTGTTACATTCTACCCTACACATTTATATGCCACCCTACCTGGCACTCTAAAATAAACATCAGTCCATCCCTTCCTGTCATACACATTTCATACCAAGAATGAAGGGGACTACTTAAAGGTATGTCCAAGAAAGTCTTCCCGAAAAGCAGGAGAAAAACTTGGACTCCAAAGTGTTGATCTTATTACTCTCCTGAGGCACAGCATGGCAGGCATTTAAAGTACCTCTCAGAAAATAGGAAGCAGTAAACTACTAAGTATTTTTGAGAAAATCCACATGGTGGCTTATGGCAGGGAGTAGACAGTGATGACCTAAACTCCATTTGAAAACCTATCCCATGAAATGATAGGGAGTCACTAAAAAGTCAAAGGTAGGATGGTAAGTTTCATGTTATCTGGTAGCTCCTTTTTTCCCCAATACAGCAAAGTTATTCAAAGGATATCTCTTGTGCAATTAAGATCATAAGAGACATATGGGGGATATAAAACTGAAAGCAACAAAGAAACAAAACAAACAAAAACTCAACAGACAAAGACAATAGTTTAGTGGTTACCAGAGGGTAATGGGGAGGGGGGGATGGTAGAAGAGGGAAAAGGGGGTCAAATATATGGTGATGTATTATAGAAATGTACACTTGAAACCTATGTAACTTTACTAACCACTGTCATCCAAATAAATAAAATCAGTCAGTCAGTCATAGGAGTTAAAGTCAGGAACACATACTGGTGGAATATACTGTATTTCCTGTCAGAAGGCTTAGCCTCCTTAATTTGGCCATAGCCGTGGTTTGAAAAAGCTCCCTCTGTTTACTGTGTAACAAGGGTAGAATTTTGATTTATGCTTATTTTTATTTAAAAAGAAATAATTTAATCTGTACCAGTATTTAATATTTAGATTGAAACTGGCTCTCTCTACCATGCGTGCATCCAAAGGTTACTAAGCAAAGCACTGACATTTTCCCTATTCCTTGCACCAGATCTATTAAAGCCATGTCAGGTTAATGAGAACATTTGAAGATATTTGACAATATTTTGAAACTATTAAGAATTGTTTCCCTTGGGCCAGTTGAGTGGCGCGATGGTTAAGAGTTAGCTTGGGATGCCAGCTCTGAGCAGCAGGGTCTCAGTTCGGATCCCACATGAGGGCCAGTGATGCTGCGCCCTCTACAGCTAAGATGGTGAACAACAGCTCGACCTGGAGCTGGGCTCCCATGAGTCGCCCACGACGGTGTAGGCTGTAGCCCTTGCTGTAGTGGGCTGCCGTAAGCTACCGTGTGTGGCCAGCAGCCAGCGTGAGCGTCTGGCAGCTGGTGTGAGCTGCCAAGAGCCGCTGTGAGCTGCCGTCCAGAGGCCGGTGACCAATCTGCCTTACCTGGGAAGAGCGCAATGATTAATACCAACATGAGCCAGTGCAGCAACATCCTCCACAACTAGACTGCAGAACAAAAGGACAGCAACTTGTCTGTTCCCTTCTCCGATTCCCCAACGCTATTCCCCTCCCCCAATTCCCCAATAAAATCTTTTAAAAAAAGAATCTGGCAACAATGTGAAATATAAGCCAAAGAAGGGTCTAAAGTAAGAGAAATAATTAAGAGAATACAATTTTAGGCAAGAGACAGATCTTTCTGCACAAAAGAAGTATTTTCTCCAAATTAACAATAACAAAACAAAGTAAGTAATGCTCTTAATAAAATACATACGGTACCTTGGAATAACTTTCCACATTTACATGACAAATATAGGCAGTGAAAATTAAGTAATACAAAACAGGAAAATACATTCAGTTTTTCATAAAGCTATCTTTATTTCAATAAAAGTGGGCTTTTTATTTGCAAAAATAATAAAATAAACCAAACCTGAACAGAAAAGGGGAAAAAAATAACAAGAAAGTAAATTAATATATACTAAATCACTTACATGTTTTAAGTAGGAACATAATTTTACACCTAAGAAATTTTTATTTATTTCAATTGGAACACTATAAAAATAATAAAAGTTTAACTGTTTATGCTTAGTTTTCTTGTATATTTGAAATAAATATAATTAAATACTACACCCTTACTGAAATAATGGTTTAACATTTTAATGACTGTAAATTGGTCAGTTTGAATAAAAACTAATTTCCTATCTATCTTGACAAACTACTCCCTCCTAGAAAACTTCAAGCATTGCAAAGTAAATACGGAACACCTGTTGAAAATCAGTGTAAATTTGACTTGGTGTAAAGAGATGTCTTTCTTTACAACAACAACAAAAGAGTTATTTTTCTGAAAGTGGAAAAATTAACCTCACCTTTTTCTTCAGGCTTTGTAGGAAAATACTTCTTCTCTGCAGATATCAGCTCAGGCTTTGGGGCTGAAAAGGGAAAAAAAGTTACCACTTTTTAAAAAAAAACATTTTAGAGCACAAAGACCATTATACTACTAAAAAGGTTAATTTAAAAATATCAGATGAGGGCCGGCCAAGTGGCGCGTTGGTTAAGAGCTGGCTTGGGACGCCAGAGGGCCCCAGTTCGGATCCCACATATGAGGGCCAGTGACACTGCAATGATGGTACCAACTTGGGCCACTGAAGCAAC